TCCTTCCTTCCTCTCTTTCTCTCTCTCTCCTTTCTTTCTTTTATACTGGCTTATTTACAAAGTTTGTATACATTGTTTTTCACACCAGATTTTTCAATTTCCTTCGCCCTCCACCCCTCCATCCATCAAATTGTGCCACTCTATGATTATCGCACCTCTTCCCCCATCCTCAGCCCTCTGTTTCCACCCTCCCCTCCCCTTGTGTCTTCGTACTCATTCTACAATAATGGTCCTATACAGTATTTGTCCTTATAGGGCTGAGTTAGTTCGCTTAGCATAATGCTCACCACTCCCTCCAAAGTTAGGTAGCGATTTACAAAACCATGGCTCCTGTGTGCTCTGTAGTATGCCATTGTGTGAATGTACCATGATTTCTCAATCCATTCCTTTGAACATCTAGGCTGTTTCTTTCTGTTGTTTTATTGCTTTTTAATCAATATTTTCTTTTGGAATCATTTTAGATTTGAGAACAAGTCACAAAGCTAGTACAGAGAGTTCTCACTTTCCATCCAGTTTCCTGTAGTTATCATCTTATGTGACTATGACATATTTATCATAACTAAGAGCCTTTCAGACTAAGACCCACTAAAAATTCCCTCTGGACTGGCCAGAAGAAGTAGAATTCAACTGGACTGGCCACACACTCCTAAAACAATAGGAGTTCAAAAGCCCCATGCATGGCAGAAGAACATTGTTGAATATCGTGGAGGAAGGTGAGCCCTTCAAGCTGAAAGGCACTCAAAAAAGGAGGATAAATAGCTGCAACTTCCTTAATAATTGGAACATAAAATTTATGGAATATGAATCTAGGAAAATAGGAATTGTCAAAAATGAAATGGCATAAAGATTAGCATCCTAGGAAATGATGAGCTGAGATGGACTGATATTGGCCATTTTGAATCAGATAAACATACAATGTACTATGCCATAAATGAGAAATTGAAAAAGAATGGTTTCACATTCATTATATTTAAAAAAAATTCTATATTACTTGCTATGCATCTGAAAGTCAGACAGTAATTAAGGATGATAGAAGAAAAATTAATGTCTTTGTGGTTGGAAAAGGGTCCTGACAATCCCAAGGTCTGCCAAGAGGACAAAGAAAAAGAAAGTAAAACTAGAGTGCTCCTTGGAGGTAAAGACGGTGAAACGTCATCTCACATATTGTCATGTTGTTAGGAAAGGTCAGTCCTTGAAGAAGGACATTACGATCAGAAAGGCAGAGAGGGTCAATGTAAGAGAAGACCCTCAACAAGATGGATTGACACAGAGACTGTAACAATGGGCTCATGTCTGTTGAGGTGGTGAGGACAGCACAGGATAGAGAAGGGTGATCTGTTGTTCGTCGGGTGATTATGAGTGGCAGCTGATTCAAAGGCACATTACAACAACAACAACAACAACAACATCCTGAAGTACAGTGCTGTGAGCCATAGACTAGTATATGTGTGCATTCAAGGAAGGCCTACTAACACAACCATCATTCAAATACATGCACCAACCACGGATGCCAAAGAGGAAGAAATGGAGGATTTCCACCAACTTCTGCAGTCTAAAATGCATCCAATATGCGATCGAGATGCACTAATAATAATTGGTGCCTGGAATGCAAAAGTTGGAAATGATGAAGACTGAGAGTTAGAAAATATGGACTTGGTGACAGAAATGAGACTGAAGGTCAAACAATAGAATTTTGTAAAACCAATGATTTATTCTTAGCAAATACCTTTTTAAAAATAATGTAAATGAAGGCTGTACAAATGCACCTTGCCTGACAGACTATTCAGGAATCCCATGGACTACTTCTATGGAAAGAGTCAGAAAAAACCTCAGCACCAACAGTCAAAACAAGACAAGGGGCTGACTGTGAAATGGACTCATATTCAAGTTCAAATTGAAGGTGGAGAAGATTTAAACTAGCCCACTAGAACTAAAATATGAACTTCCGTCTATCTCAACTGAATTGAAAAACCGTCTCAAGAATAGATATTGAACACTAATAACTGAAGACCAGAGGAGTTATATATATGATGACATCAGGGACAACATCTATGAAGAAAGCAAGAGGATATTTACAAAGAAAGGAAGAAAAGACCAAATGAAAGTCAGAAGAGACTCTGAAGCTTGCACTAGAAGCCAAGATAAAGGGAAGAAATGCTGAAGTTAAACCAAAGATTTTACTCAAGGAAACAAAGCAAAACATTATAATGAAATGCGGAAAGAAATGAAGTTAGAAAACCAAAAGGGAAACATTCCTCAAGTTGAAATAACTGAGGAATGAGTTGCCTTAAGTTGCAGTATTGAAGGATTCTGTGGGTAAAGTCTTGAATGATGCAGGGAGCTTCAAAAGAAGATAGAATATACAGAGTCACTGCACCAGAAACAATCATTCAATCCTGAATCATATCAGGAGGTAGCATGTGATCAAGAACCAGTGGTAAAGAAGGAAGAAGGTCAAGCTACAAAGAGGACATTGGCCAAAATAAGGCAAGCCTAGAACTTATAGAAAACTAATTGAGGTGTTTTGCCAAATACATGCCGTCCTAGGTGTGTTCACTAGCCCGAGTCAGGAAATTTGAAAGACAGCTCCCATGTCAACTAACTTACTAGGCAACATCTATATTTGTTTCGACTCCAAAAAAAGGGATTCTCATGCAATAGATCTCAAACTTCAACATGCATCAGAATTACCTGTATAGTTTATTAACACAGAGATTCTTGGGCCCACCTGCAGAATTTCTGGGGTCCTCCATCTAGGATAGGCTTGAGAACCTGCATTTTTCATAAGTTCCCAGATGAAGGCTGATGCTGCTAATTCAAGTACTCCACTTAATGCCAGTCTAGTTTATGTCTCTAAAGTGCAAAAGTGTACACAAACTGTCAGCTGATCAAGCCTGTTGTTTTCATGATAGTTTGGTGCTGGAGGAAATGAGATGTGTAGATACGGAACATCTGCTTCAAGTTTCT